CGGTGTACGTACGTGCCTCAGAGCAATTTGAAATATTTACCTTTCGACCATGTTCAGTTAGTTTCTGCGTCAGTGGATAATTAGATGTGAAACTGAAGGGTATTATTTTACACTTCCTGTTTACGCCTCAGATTGTATCGCCAAATTATAAGTTGTTTTTTTTAAATCTCTTGCGGGCGCTGCGCACCACCCACCTAACACTAAGCACCCACTAAGTAAAGGATAAATGCCATTTATCAACTTTTCTCTCGTCCGTATCTGTGTTTACCCTGTACTGCAAAATAAGATTCAACATATTCAACAGCTCAACCTCAGTTCCATTACACGGCCATACAGGAGGTGAATGATATATGATAACGCGATAACGAAGGGTCGTGACTGCCATGAAATGAGGAAACTCACCATGACGTTTCTTATAACATGCAACTCGAATGTCCGACACTTAAATGCCACTCCTCGGAGGATGGATCATAGAGCAGGTTGGAACTGCGCGCGCCCAGAGAGAAGAGGAATAATGGGACGAGATGGAGCGGCGTTAAAGAGAGGGGAGGGTAGTACGGAAAGAGCTGCAGAACCGTGCGAGCAGAGGCAAAAAATATGGTTCTGATTTCTAGCAATAGCCGTATCTCCCCAGCGCTCTTGAAGGCTAGTGCTGGATCAGGATGAACATTAACAGATTGTTTGGACAGTCCAGTCTGGAGTTGTACCGATTTTAGTCAGTGTTAACATCATGTAATCACTGATAAATACTTTCAGACCTGCCTCGTGTTGTGCAAAAGTACTTTTAAGTAAACCCTCAAGCCTCAGTGGTGACCAGCTTGGAATTTCTCCTGGCAAGGTCACTACTTCGTGGAACGTGCAAGTCATGAGAATAAAGGAAGTGATCACCAAAGATAACTGGTACCTTGATTTCAACTAAGTTCTTCCATGTAGTGCAAAGATACAGAGGAACTAATCATGCAAGTTGATTCTGGGGAGTAATGGGCTAAATCAGCGACACTCGATGAATGTTATTTCTTACAGAGTTATGTGTAGTGTCAATTTGAACATGATAAAGGTGAAATAGGAACTCTCCAAATACAGAAAAGGTAAACGAGCATAGTTGTTTTAAATTTACTGTTGTGTATAATTCGTTGATTTGTGGCACAATGTAACATTAGAAACTTTGGACTGGATTCACTTAACTTCCACAGCTTTGTGGATATATTGATGACTGTCCAACCTCGTTCCCAGGGTCTCTCATCTTACCGCCCCCTGGAGCGAGCGAAGAGAGACCCTGGTTGGGTCTGGTCACGTGTCTCCCAGAATCTGGGA